ATTGTGCCTGCACTGGCTCAATTATTTTGTACCAACCTCCATATCCCTGCTCACCTTACTATCCAAATAATCATCCCGTGCCCCTCTTGAATGCCTCAACTGAACCTATCTCCACCACATTTCCATACAGCATTCTGTACACTAACTACTCAACTATGTGAAAGGTTTTGTTGTATCACATCAGCTCGCTTCGTTTGCAAATCACCTTAAATCCATGCTCTCTCTTATTTCTTTTACAACCAAATACAACTTCACCCCATCTACACCATCCAGCTCATCATGACTTTGAATACCTCAATCAGATCCTCCTCTCAGCCTCTTCTCCAGAGAGAATGGTCCCAATTTCTCCAGTTTTAAACTTTAACATTCTCAGCCCCGTGTACTTCCTTCGCTGGCCCTGTTCACTCCACATTTCTGCAATTTCCTTCTGCCCCTCTGAGATATCTACACAGTTCTGCTTCTGACATCATGTACATCTTGAGTGTCATTTATCCATCATTGAGAACTAGCTTACTTTCAATGTACTAATGGTCAGTTCTCCATATGGGAGATGATGGTAGGTTAATTGACAGTTTGGTACAAAAAATACAGAGGTCGACCCTCCCAACTTCAAGGTGTCTCACTGCTCTACTTCTGAGGTGCAGTGTTGCACTTTTCAAAGACTTCTCATTGCTTTTTGTTAGAGTGCAATGGCCAGATAATTCAATTTACGGACATTGGCCTGGATACAAAATGTTTGGATCATAGTTTTAGATACTCATTTCTCTCCCCTTTAAGGGGAGGCAATAAATTAGTGGTATTATCATTGAGCTGTTAATCCAGAAACCCAGAAAACATTTTGAGACCTGGGTTCAGACCCTGCCAAGGCAGATGGTGGAATCTGAATTCAATAAAAATCAGATATCAGATGATGATGTGCCATCTGGTTCACTAATGTGCTTTAGAGGAGGAATCTGCTATCGTTACCTGGTGCGACTTACATGTGACTCCAGACCCACAGCAATGTGGATGACTCTTAACTGCCCTCAGGGCAATGAGGGATGGATAATAAATAGCGGCCCAACCAGAGACACCTACATACCAACAGTGAATTTTAAAACATTGAGACATTAGTCCCCCTCTACTGAGAAGCTCAGCAATAGTTTTAAACTGATAACCTTTGTTCTCAATTCCCCATCGAGAGAATTATTTGTCTACCCCATTGATAATTTTCAACAGTTTAAAAATTCAGTCAGCTTACCCCCTTGAATCTGTTACTTCAGCGCTTCTCAGACCTAAGCGTTCCTATTTCAAGGCTTCATAATTGTCACCACTCCTCAGAGAGACCTGAGAGGGTAGGTCAAGATTGGGGGTTTTTGGGGGGCCAGGGGAGTTGTCATTTAAGGAGTGCGGCGGTGGCTTACAGGTAATGTCATTGGACTAGTAATCCAGAATCCCTGGTTAACGTTCAGGGTCACACGACACCAGGTTATAGTCCGACGGGTTTATCTAAAATCCACAAGCTTTGAAGGGGCTGCGCTCCAAAAGCTTGTGATTTCAAATAAACCTGTTGGACCGTAACCTGGTGTCGTGTGATTTTTGACTTTGTCCACACCAGTCCAACACTGGCACCTCCACATCAAAGTTTAGGAGGGGCGTCCCAAACAAGATAGATGGCAAAATTTGAACTGACTAAAATTGTGGAACCAACGAAAAGGCAACTCTAATGTCAACATAGTCAATTGTCATAAAGACCGACCTTGAACACTAATGGCCTTGAAGGAAGGAAATCTGCTGTCCTTACCTGGTCCGGCCTACATGTGACTCCAGACCACAGCAATGGGGTTGAACCCCTCTGGGCAACAAATGCTGATACAAGCCAGCAATGTCCACATCCCGTTAGCAAATGAAGGAAAAATGCTAGCCAGAGTTCTACTGTGTCCATTGCCCCACTTGGGGTCCCATCCCTCCCTACTTTGGGAAGCTCTGTCCAACAGTCATGGGGAAAATAGCCACAGTTACACGAAATGCCCTCACAGGGTAACTCCAGGATGTTCTGATGGGGTTTGTATCTGACCCGATGCAGGCACCGCTGGAATGCAAAAGTGGAAATAGGAGGAATAAATCACAGCCAGGACTCAAGCAGGGATAAAACAAAACTTTCAGTTCAATTCAATTTCCCCAAAGACTCGCACAGACCAAACCTTCACATTAAACACCAAATTATAGAATATAAATCAGAGGAGAACTTCGATGGTATAAAGGCCCAAATGGTGCCCTTTAGGTAAATGATGGCTCAATTGCCATGTCTCAAACACCATTGATCAAAGCCTCATCCCAACCTTCTGGGCCTGGACGACAAACGGTCAGAATTCCCGACATTTTCTTGACCACATTCTCCCTTCTCTCTGCAGCGGTTTGGAGGCCGGAGTGGGAGAATAATGATGGGGTTGCAGGAAAGGCAAAACACAACATTCCTCTACCCACTGACTCAACACAACCCAAACTCTTCCTTTGAGCCAGGGGAGCAAATGGGCATAAGTGGGTTGGTGGGGTCAGGTAGGAGGGCTGTCAACTCTGGTTGAACATCTCCATGGAGATCTCATCACATGAACGCCAAACACCTCATTCCACCATTAGTCACCTGATCTTTTGAACGTCACCTTCCCATGCCCCCCCTACCCCCCACCAAATTATTGGTCAGAGCATGTAATCATTATCCACTTCGATGATTCTCAATTTGTCCGTCAACTCGCCCCTTTCCACATTTGCATATGCAGGTGAATAAGCAAAATCAAATTGGTGAAGCATTCTCACAGCTACAATCCTTATCCCCGGAATCGCTCACAACACCATCCCAGATATTAACTTATGCCATCCACTGTTAATGAGGACACGCCTAGGATAATTCCCCACAAAGCTTATCCGGGGCTGTGGGTGGGGTTAAACTGAAAACGCCCAAGTCGAGGATAGGCAGATTTTCCAACAGGTTGAGTCATAAAGGGTCACAGCACCCAAGATGGACTCCAAACGCTGACCAGGCACCGTCTAAATGTTTAGCACAACAGGCACAAACAGCTGAATGGCCTCCTTGCCTTCCTCTCCCAGAGGGTTTAGAACATTGTCGGGGAGAGTTTGTGAAAGGGTGGAGGTGGATAGAAATGAAGTTGGAGAGAGTCGGGGAGTGGGGGCAAAATTGGCTGTTGACTGTATTATCTCTACCATTCCCCACCTCTCAACTCCCACTCCGACTCCAACTTTACATCCTGACAGATACAACAAAACACAACAGCTTCACTTCATTGCTCCTATTCTATACAAATACTGCTCATAGCACAATGTTCAGCACCATTCATGGCTCCTCAGATACTGAAGTAGTCCATGTCCAAATCCAATTAGATCTGGACAATATCCAGGCTCAGGCTGACAAGTGGCAAGTAATGGTTTCACCACACAAATGCCACACAATGACCATCCTCAATAGGAGACAACCTAATCACCACCTCATGACATTCAATGGTGTCGACAGCATCATCTCTACCCTTCCCCTCGCCTCAAATCTCACTCCGACTCAAAAGGGATCGAGGGAAACTGGAGTATGGTGCCTCATTGTTCAATGGGGGACTTTACATCCTGACAGATTCAAAACACAACACAACAACTTCCGTTCATATTCTATACAAATACTGCTCATGGCTCTGCCAGGGCATCTACTTTTCCAGACATTCTGTCTATGTCAGCTCTCAGTCAGTCAGTAAGGGAATCAGGGGTTACGATGGGGAAATGGAATTGAGGATTATTAGATCTCAGTGAATGGGAGAACAGACTCGATGGGCAGAATGGCTTATTTCTGCTTTTGACTTGACCATCATCCCATTCCCAAACTCAGCAGGTCTGGCAGCATTTGTGGAGAGAGAAACATTTAACATTTGGAGTCCTGTCACCCATCTTCAACTCTAACCTTGTTCAGTTCTAACCATGGGTCATCAATTTGAAACATTATTTACTGGAGAGAAATTAATCAGCGTTAAGTCATTTCAGCATTTTCTGCCTGTAAGTTAGATCGCCATCTTATCAAAGATAAAGCGAGTTATCCTGAGATAAATCAAGAGGGGGGGGTCATACGTTGATGGAGAAGAGATGCTGAAACTAGCAAAAGCAAGATCTGATTGGAAAAGCTAACAGATAACGTCACCATAGTCACAGGGCTGCTCTCTCATTAGAGAGAGACGACTGGTGGTGGTTTAACCTGAGGATCACCACACCTCAGGAGTGGGCGGAGTTTGCAGAGGAGGGTCCCTCATGGTAACCTCAGCCGCTGTGGGAATTGAACCCACACTGTTGGTGCCACTCTGCATTGCAAACCAGCCATCCAGCCAACTGAGCTAAACCAATCCCCTCCACAACCCCACCATAGTATACCATCTACAAGATGCAGAGCAGCAACTCAACAAAATTCCTTCAACAGCTCCTTCCAAACGCGTAACCTCCACAATCTCAAAAGGAGAAGGGCAGCAAATGCATGGGAACACCATCATCTGCAGTTGTCCAACTCACCATACTGACTTGGATAAATTTCGCCACTTGTTCACGATCGCTGGGTCAAAGTTGTTTCCTAACAGCACTGAGAGCGCACCAAACCCTCAGGGACTGCAGCTGCTCAAGACAGCATCTCACCACCACCACCTTGTCAATGGCTATTAGGGATGGGGCAATGAATGTTCACCTTGCCAATGATCCCCAAATGCACAAATAAATAAAAACAAAACAAAGAGCACAGGAATAGCAGTGGAGACACCTGTTTTCACTTGGTCATTGCTTGGTAGCTTGGGCCACCGGTAAGCCTTTACCCAACGGCAACCTGGGTGAAACACAAGCTCAAGATGGGAAGCAAGACTCTTGTCAATGTGTTCTCTTGAGTCAGGCCAGGTTTGATCAACTTTGACCATTACCTGACTTCCCTGAAAACCAAGAACTTCCAAGATAGCTGCCACTGAATGATGGTCAAACCGAAATAAAGGTCAGAGTTCAATTTGTTTTTTTTTATATACACATGTAGAGCGCAAAATCTGATTGTCAACATAAACCAATTCTGTTTTAGCAGGAATATAGTTTATACCCTTTCATTCTCTCCTATCTTTCCAAATCCTAACAGGGTCAACTCTCTTCATCATGCAAAGTCAGTTCTATTCCTGAGGGTTGATTCTTTTTGGAAATTGGTGAAGAATCCCTGCTCTCCACTGGTGTTCCCGCATTATCTGGAAGAGGTTTAACATCTTGATTGCTATTTGCTGACTCACTGCACACAATGTCCCGTACACACACTCCATCTGCGCTAGGCAAGAGGCCAAGTTCACTGGAAGGATCCTTGCCACAGTCCAGGTTCTTCTTTCCATTTTCTCTCTCTATTTCAACCAAGTCCAGTCTTTCCGCAGACTGGCTTTCTTCCAATTCTGGAACTCCAAGAGGCTTGTCTCCCTTTGGAGTCAGAGTTCCTTCAGGTTCTGCCCTCTGGTAGGAAGCCCCACCTTCATCCTGCCTTGCAGTCTTCCCTTGACCATCATGGTATAGTCTGCCATTTCCGCTGGAGCTATGCCCGGCGTCTGGGGCCTCAGTTTGTTCCTCAGCGCCTCGTGAGGGTACTGCTGTCTCAGTGGTTGCACTGTCCTCCTGAAGGTCTGGTTGTTGATCACGAACCTGTTCCTCTTCCTCTGTCTGCCCGGGAGGTTCAGGTGGAGGGGGCGATGGCTTTATGAATTGGTGGCACATGGGGCACGTTTTTTGGACATAAAGCCAGCGACGGAGGCAGGATGAATGGTAATAATGTCCGCAAACTGTTACAACAGCTGCCCTCATACCCTGAGTGGAGAAAGAAAATGAAGTAAATAAGACAAACACTGTTTAATATCGTACCGACCATAGCCACAGATGTTTTAACCTCCATTCCCTCCACTACCGATGGAGCAGTGTGGACCATCTACAAGATGCACTGCAACAATTCGCCAACAGGCCTTAGACATGATCTTCCAAACTCTCAAACTCTACTAACCAGGGCGAGAGCAGCAGATACATGGGAACACCACCAGCTGCAACTTCCCCTCCAAGCCTGTCACCATCCTGGTCTGGAAATATATCATTGCTCCTTCAGCGTCGCTGGTTCAAAATTATGGCATTCCCTCCCTAATAGCATTGTGGGTCTACCTACAGTGGTTTTAGAAGGCAGCTCACCACCAACTCCTCAACTGCAATTCGGGACGGCCAATAAAAGCTGGCCCAGCCAGAGACAGCCAACCCCCAATAGGACAAAAATCTGTCGCAGTACCTGCACCGTGAGGCTGAGATTGAGAACATGGAAATGTAGGAAACAGGAACCGGAGAAGGCCATTTGACCCTCCAAGCCTGCTACGCCATTCGATATCATCGAATCAGAGGGCGGCAGGGACGTCAGAGAGGCATTCTGATAGACGGCACTGCATTTACTACAACTGGGGAGCGGAACGCGACAGGGCACCCTCAGTGACCGACACGAGGAGAAGCATTGAATCAGAGGGCGATACAGCTGTCACTGAGAGGAATTTTGGGAAATGTTACTGCAGTCACCACGAGAGATAGTAAGAACTGCTGATGCTGGAGTCAGAGATAACACAGTGTAGAGCTGGAAGAACACAGCAGGCTAGGCAGCATCAGAGGAGCAGGAAAGCTGACGTTTCAGGGGTGGGGGTGGGGGTGGGGGTGGGGAGTTTGGGGGGGGGGGGGATTGGGGGGGGAGGGGGCTTGGGGGAGGGTGCTAAGAAATAAATAGAGGGGGATGGGGTGGGGCTGGGGAAGGTAGGTGGTATGGTGATAGGTGAGTGCAGCTCGGGAGTGGTGGGAATTGGTCAGTGAGGTGGGAGGAGTGGATAGGTGGGAGAGAAGACGATAGACAGGTCAAGGAGGCGGGATGAGAGGGGGGTGCTGGTCTTGGGATGAGGCCGTGGGTGGGGAGATTTTGAAGCTGGCAAAGTCCACATTGAGACCATTGGGTTGTAGACTGCAATCACCACGAATGGGGAGCGGATCATGACAGGACCAATCAATGAAAGGAACATCATCGAATCAGAGGGCGGCAGAGGCGTCACAGACGAATTCTGGGAGACAGCACCGCAGTCGGTACGACTGGCCTGAATAATGCAGAGGAACTGGTGTCGAGGATTGGTTAAACCCAAAACACTACATGAGTGCAGTGTTTTCCCCATCTCTACCCACTAAACCTCCTGTAACCAAAAAAAAAAGCACTGAAAGGAGGACAGGCAAGATTTATATCTTTTTTTTTGAAAGTGTACAAAGGCAGAGATGGCAGTTAGGGCGGAGTATGCTCCTCCTGCCAGATGTGGGGAAATCAGGGAGCAGTCTGGTGTCCCCGACAACTACATTTGCAGGATGTGTTACCAGCTGCACAGACTATATGGTTCAGTTGGAGAAGCGGCTGGACACACTGCGGTGCATACAGGGGGAAGAGAGAGTGATAGATTCTAGCTTTAGGAAGGTGGTCACACCACAGGTCCAGACAGGTGACTGCCAGGAGAGGCAGGCGGGTAGTGCAGGAGTCTCCTGTGGATATTCCCCTCTCAAACAGGTATACCGTTTTGGATACTTTTGAGGGGGATAGCCTCTCCGGAGATGGTACATGCAGCAGCCAGACCTGTGGCACCACAAATGCTTCTGCTGTGGAGCAGGTTGGGACAACGTCCAGGTGAGCGATAGTACTAGGTGACTCGATAGTCAGGGGCACAGATATGCGTTTCTGTGGACATGAATGAGCCTCCAGGATGTCGTGTTGCCTCCCTGATGCCAGGGTCCTGGACGTCTCTGAGCAGGTGCAGGACATCCTGAAACGGGAGGGAAAACAGACAGAAGTCATTGCCCACATTGGCACAAATGACATAGGTAGGAAGAAGGAAGAGGTCCTACAAAGACAATTCAGGGAGTTAGGTAAGGAACTAAAATGCAGGACTACAGGATAGTAATCTCAGAATTACTACTTGTGCCATAGGCTAATGAGGCTAGGAACACAGAGAGAGTACAGTTGAACACGTGGCTACAGAGCTGGTGTAGGAGGGAGGGCTTTAGATATATGGATCATTGGGATGTCTTCAGGGGAAGGTGGGTCCTGTACAGGAAGAATGGGTTGTACCTGAACTGGAGGGGCACCAATATCCTGGGTGGGAGGTTTGCTAGAGTTGTTTAGAAGGGTTTACACTAGTGTGGTAGGGGGTGGAAACTGGAACAACAGGCCAGTAAGTGCAGGGACTGTGGCCAAAGTGAGACTGAGACATGCATTGCACAGGGTAACAGCAGGCAGAGGGAAGTCGTGGGGCTCAGAGGGACTGGAGGCCTGGAGTGTATTTACTTCAATGCAAGAAGTATAACAAGTAAGACTGATTAACGAAGGGCATGGCTTACTGCATGGAATTATGATGTTATTGCCATTACGGAAACATGGTTAAAGGAGGGACAGGGCTGGCAGCTTAGCATTCCAGGATATCGCTGCTTTAGACGGGACAGAAAGGGAAACAAAAGGGGTGGGGGAGTCACATTGCTGACTAGGGATCACATCACAGCTGTGTTGAGGAAGAGATCTTGAGGTGAGGCATTACAAACTCAGGAATAGGAAGGGTGAAATCACAATGCTGGCAGTTTTCTATTGACCTCCCAACAGCCCACAGGAGACGGAGGAGCAGATATGTAGTTAGATACTGGAAAGGTGCGAAAAAACCAGATAGCTGTGGTGGGTGACTTTAACTTCCCTCTTATTGACTGGGACTCCCTTAGAGCCAGGGGCTCGGATGGAGAGCAATTTGTTAGATGTGTCCAGGAGGGCTTTTTGAGACAGTATGTTGACAATCCAACCAGAAAAGAGGCCATACTAGACTTGGTATTAGGGAATGAGCCAGTACAGGTGACCGATGTTTCAAGAGGACTTAGTGACCATAACTCCATAAGATTTTGAGTAGTCATGGGCAAGACCAAGAGTGGCCCTCGGGCGAGGGTGTTTAATTGGGCGAGGGCCAATTATATCCAAATTAGACAGGAACTGGGGAATGTGGATTGGGAGCAGTTATTTGAGGGCAAATCTACATCTGGCATGTGGGGGGCTTTTAAAGACCAGTTGATTAAAATGCAGGACATGAATGTCCCCGCAAAACTGAAGGATAGGAATGGCAGGATTCAGGAACCATGGATGATAAGGGAAATTGCAAACTTAGTCATAAGGCAAAAGGAAGCTACAAACTAACAAAGCCTTTGAGTATAGAGAAATTAGGAAGGAACTTAAACATGGTATTAGGAAGGCTAAAAGGAGCCATGAAATGTCTTTAGCAACATGGTCAAGGAGAATCCCAAGGCTTTTATGCATATATTAGAAGAAAGAGGGTAGCAAGGGAAAGAGTAGGCCCACTCAAGGATAAAGGACGGAAGTTATGCGTGGAGCCACAGGAAGTGGGGGAGATCCTTACTAAGTACTTTGTATTGGTATTCAGCAAGGAGAAAGACATGACTGATGTTGAAGTCAGGGATGAGTGTGTGAATATGCTACAGAGTGTCAATATATTGAAGGAGGAAGTTTTGGGTATCCTAGATTGCATTAAGGTAGACAAGTCCCCAGGGCCAGATGGGATCTCTCCCAAGTTACTGCGAGGCAAGGGAAGAAACAGCTGGGGCATTAGCAGATATCTTCACATCCTCTTTGACCACAGGTGACGTTCCAGAGGACTGGAGATTAGTCAATGTTGTTCCCTTGTTTAAGAAAGGAAGCAGGGATAATCTAGGAAATTATAGTCTGTGGTGGGGAAGTTCTTGGAGAAAATACTGAGGGACAAGATGTATGCATATTTGGAAGAAAATGGATTAGGTAGTGACAGGCAGCATGGTTTCGTTCGGGGAAGGTCATGTCTCACCAACCTGATCGAATTTTTTGAAGAGGTGTCAGAGATAATTGATGAGGGAGGAGCTGTGGATGTACTTTACATGGGCTTTAGTAAGGTATTTGATAAAGTCCCACATGGCAGGTGATAAATAAAATAAAATCACATGGGATTCGGGGTGGACTGGCTAGATGGATACAAAACTGGCTTGGTCATAGAAGACAGAGGGTAGCCGTGGAAGGGTGTTTATCACAATTATGAGGGTGGAATCGAGCGCGGGCCCCTGGCGCTGTGAGGCAGCAGAGCTAACACTGCGCTACCGTGCTGCCCCAAAGGCGTGTAAATCCTGTGTGTGGGTTCCTCAACCTGCTCTTATCCCTTTATCCTCCAACATCCGCGCGCCCTCTTCCCAAAAACCCACCAATGGAGGTGCAAGGGCCTACCTGGTAGCAGATGGCACAGACGTCAGCATAGTCGTCAAGCTGCTGCTGGGAGGCACGGGGCAGTGAGCTGATCTTCTGGGCAGCCTCTCTACGGAGGACGAAGCTGTTCCAGCCAGCGCGGGCACGCAGCCAGACGTTGAAGTAAGAGTGCACGACAATGACCGAGGCCCCCATCCAGCTCCACTCCCCGAAGATGGACTCCACCACACCGTAGGCCACAACGCACACGGCCACGAGGAACTCCAGGATCCGGCACGAGCTGTTGACGTAGTAGATGATGTCCTCCAGGTTCTCGATGGGCTCCCTCCGCAAGTCTTCAGTCACAAAGAGGCCGTAGATGAAGATAGTCCCGGTAACCTGGAGAAAGGAGTTTCAGTCAGGGCATTGCGTAATTCACTGGTGGGGTTAGTTGGGGATGGGGATGGGGATGGGGGTGGGGGTTGGTGGTGGTTTGAATTGCCTTGTGTTCGTTCATGTAAGTCTCACTGGATTTATTATTTATTCTGGGCGGGCAGGAAATACTTGAAATGGTGACACACTGGGAAACAATTATGTCCAATGAATCTAGGTGTCCTTGTTCACCTAAGACCATAAGATATAGGAGTAGAATTAGGCCATTCGGCCCACGGGGTCTGTTCCAGTATTTGATCATGGCTGACACATTTCTCAGCCCCATTTTCCTGCCTTCTCCCTGTAACCCTCGATCCCCTTACTAATCAAGAACCTATCTTTTTTTAAATCATTCACAGAATGTGGATGTATTTATTACCCATCTCTAGTTTTCCTGGAAGGTAATTAAGAGTCAACAACATCGCTGTGAGGATAAGATAAGGATGGCACATTTCCTTCCCCAAAGGGAATTTGACCGAGTGTGGCATCAATGGCCTCAAGCAAAACTCAAATGGATTGAAGGGGAGAACCCTGTAGGAGACATGTCTGGCACAAAGAAAGATGCTTTTCTTCGTTGGAGGTCAATCATCATAGCTGCTGGACTTCTTCAGGGTAATGGGGAAGTTTGCTGATGATTGCGCAATATTCTGCACCATTCTAACCTAATCTAATCATTCACAACTCTCCAGGTACTGAAGCAGTCTTTGTCAAAAATGCAGCAAGACCCTATCAATGTCCAAGCTTCAGCTGACAAGTGGAATGTTGCATTTGCGCCACACAAGTGTCAGGCAATGATCATCTCCAACAAGAGAGAATCTGACCTTCGCCCCGTGACATTCAATGGTGTTACTACCATCACTGAATCCCCCACTATCAATGTCCTGGGTGACACCATTGACCACATACTGAACTGGACTAGCCATACAAATACCGTAGCTGCATGTCTGAGGCCTGGAATACTCTAGCAAGGGACTCACCTCCTGACTCCCAAAGTCTGTCCACCATCTATAAGGCAGGAGTGTGATGGGTGCAGCTGCAAAACCACAAGAAGCTTGACACGGTCCAGGGTAAAGCAGCCGCTTGATTGGCACCACATCCACAAAAATCAACATTTCACCACCTGCAAAAATTCACCAAGCTTGTTCCAAAGCCACGACCAATTCCATCTGGAAGGACATGGACGTGTACATGGGAAAACCACAATCTGAAAGCTTCCTTCTAATCACATATCACCTTAACTTGGAAATGTATCATGTTTCCTCCTCTGTAGCTGGGTCAAAATCCCGGAACTCTTTGCCTAACCATACTGTGGTTGTATCTAATGATGCAATGGTTTAAGAAGGCAGCTCACCACCACCTCAAGGGCAACCAGGGATAAACCATTAAATCCTGTGCCAACCAGCAAAGTTTACATCCCCCGAATGAATTTTAAGAAAAGACCTCAAACACTCACTGGGCAAGAACAGCATGGGATTAGATACAAAGTAAAGCTCCCTCCATATTGTCCCATTAAACTCACCCAGGAATTTCTTCTCCCAGAGGATAGCGAATCTGGGTATTCCTTATTGCAGAGATAAGTGGGTCAATAAGTACATTCAAGGCTGAGACAGACACATTCTTAACCAGTAAGTGAATGAAGTAAAAGGCAGGAAAATGGAGTGGAGAATTATCATATCATCCATGATCTCATTGAGTCATAGAGATGTAAAACACAGAAAAAGGTCCACACTGGTCAAAACCAACCAGCTAACTATTCCAATCCCAGTGAATGACGAAGAAAATTTGCTGGGCCAAGTGGCTTAACTCTACGTTAAGGCGTTACGGTCTTACGTATGTCATGTTATTTATGTTTTTACTCATTCAGGGGATGTGGGCTTTGCTAGTTGGGATAGCATTTATTGTCCATCTCTAGTTGGTCTTGAGAAGGTGCTGGTGAGCTGCCTTCGTGAACTGCTGCAGTCCATTTGGGGTAGAGACACCCACAATGCAGTTAGGGAGGGAATTCCAGGATTCTGACCCAGCGACAGCGTCTACACATACTACAAGTCTATCGCTGCATCCTCAATCCTGCTACAATCCTAACTACTGGTGGATGCATTGGTGGTCATCTTCCAGATTCCATAGACTCTGGAACAGTCCCTGCAGATTGGAGGGTGGCCAATGTCACTCCAATATTCAAAAAGGGAGGTAGAGAGAAAACATGGAATTATGAGATTCTGTGTAGAATTATATGTAGTAAGCCTAACATCAGTAGTGGGGAAAATTCTCAAATCCATTATCAAGGACTTTATAGTGGAGCGTTTAGAAAGCAGTGGCAGGATCAGACAGAGTCAGCATGGATTTATGAAGGGGAAATCACGCTTGACAAATCTGTTGGAATTTTATGAAGATGTAACTAGTAGAGTTAACAAAGGGAGCTAATTGATGTGGTTTATTTAGATTTTCAGAAAGCGTTTGACAAAGTCCCACATAAGAGATTATTGTGCAAGATTAAAATGCATGGGATTGGGGGAAGTGCATTGAGATGGACAGGAAACAGGTTGGCAGAGAGGAAACAAAGATTAGGAATTAATGGGTCCTTTCTAAATTGGCAGGCAGTAACTAGTGGGGCGCCACAGGGATCGGTGCTGGAACCCCAGCGATTTTCAATAATATATTAATGATTTCGATGAGGGAACAAAATGTAACATCTCCAAGTTTGCAGATGATACTAAGTTGGGTGGGAGGGTGAACTGTGACGAGGATGCAGAGATCCTTCAGCATGATCTGGACAGGTTGGGTGAGTGGGCATACCAATGGCAGATGCAGTATAATTTGGATAAATGTGAGGTTATTCACTTTGGAAGGAAAAACAAGAAGGCAGATTACTACCTGAATGGCTGTAAATTGGGAGAGGGGAGTGTGCAGCAGGTCCTGGGTGTCCTTGTGCGCCAGTCGCTGAAGGTAAGCATGTAGGTACAGCAGGCGGTAAAGAAGGCAAATGGTATGTTGGCCTTCATTGCGCGAGGTTTCGAGTACAGGAGCAGGGACGTGTTGTTGCAGTTATACAGGGCCTTGGCGAGACCACACCTGGAATATTGTGTGCAGTTTTGGTCTCCTTTTCTGAGAAAGGATGCTCTTGCTCTCGAGGGAGTGCAGTGAAGGTTACCAGGCTGATTCCAGGGATGGTGGGTCTGACATTTGAGGAGAGATTGACTCGGTTAGGATTGTTTTCGCTGGAGTTCAGACAAGTGAGGGGTGATCTCAGAGACTTAGAAAATTCTAACAAGACTGGACAGGGTAGATGTAGAGAGAATGTTCCCAATGGTGGGTGTGTCTAGAACCAGGGGTCACAGTCTGAGGATTCGGAAAAGACCATTTAAGATGAAGATGAGGAACCATTTCTTTACCCAAAGAGTGGTGAGCCTGTGGAATTCAATACCACAGGAAGTAGTTGATGCCAAAACACAATGTATTCAAGAGGTGGCTAGATATAGCACTTGGAACAAATGGGGTCAAAGGTTATGGGGAGAAAGCAGGATTAGGCTATTGAGTTGGACAATCAGCCATGATTGTGATGAATGGCACAGCAGGCTCGAAGAGCTGAATGGCCTCCCCCTGCTCCATCTTCCATGCTTCTATGTTTTATGTTTCTCACTGATATTTCCAAGTTTTTGTGCCATTTGCAACCTTTGAAATGATGCCCTCCTCATCCAAGCCCAACTTGGATACAAACAGTGCCCACCCACCTGGAGAGAAGTCAGTGCGCTGCTGGAGACGATGATCAATAACCAGAAGTCCATCTCAAAAAACTGCGCAATCCTGTAGGCCATAAAACTGGGAAAGACCAACAGGAAAAGACATGTACTCACTGCCCGGAAATGCTTCCATAAACTCCTGAAGAAGCAAAAAGCACAGAAAAATTAGGAATTTGAGCAGAAATAGGTGATACTAGGTCCTATCAAATTCCACTCATATCACACGGCATATCCCAGGATTCAGTTGGTCCTTGAAAGGGATGACGGACCAAGTTCCCAGAGGGAGACCCCAGGCAGCACAGTGGCTCAGTGGTTAGCACTGCTACCTCACAGTGCCAGGGGTTCAATTCAAGCCTCAGGCGACTGCCTGTGTGGAATTTGCACATTCTCCCTGCATCTACATGGGTTTCCTCCGGGTGCTCCAGTTTCCTCCCACAGTCCAAAGATATGCAGGTTAGGTGGGTTGGCCATGCTAAATTGCCCGTAGTATCCAGGGATGTGCAGGTTAGGTGGGTTAGCCATGGGAAGGGCCGGATTACAGGGAATAGGACGGCGGTCGGGGGGGTTCTGGCTAGGATGCTCTTTGGACAGTCAGTGCAGACTCAATGGGCCGAATGGCCTCTATCTGCACTGTAGGGATTCTGTGATTACTTTACCAAAGGGTCTTTTCTGAAATGGAGAACGTTCCATCTTTCAAGGGAAAAATGGATGATGGTTTTGAAATAGAGGGAGATACAGGAGACAGATCAGGATAATGGGATAGGTTTTTCATTGCTCCAGGAAAGGGACAGCACAGTTGTTATGGGTTGAAGGGTCTGGAAATTTCCTGTGACTGATGAACATACTCCAAATCAGACAATGGTTTTGCTGTGACCCTTTTGTGAAATCATCATAAACTCTCCCTGTCGCAAAGACAGACTATCCAGTCTCAAGGAAATTCCGAGGTTCAGCCCCTCATCACAGCTGAATGCGAGACAAGGCCACAACTGGCCTCAGTGTCCAAGGGCAAGGACAGGAGATCACAAGGTCAGAACTCCCAGCTCCTTATCACCACCCAGTCATTCCCTAACGTGCCAACATGGAAATCAAGGCCAGGAAGGGATTGAGTTCGATGGCAAGGTCCCTAACAGTCAACCTGCCTCGCCACTGAAGCTCATGTGAAAAGAGACAGACATTTGGGACCACAGGCTGGGAAGCAGAGCGCAGCAAGGAGGAGTGAGCAGAGAGGGGCTCGTTTGACACGCCCCGATTCTGGGGTAAAGGGTATTCGCCACCCCCTACCACCCTCACCTCAAGAACCCCACCCCTGCCACCCTCCCCTCCCTGCCCCATCGCCCACTTCACTCCCTCACCTGTTCCGAGAAGCTCCCAGTGCAAGGACGATGGGGTCAGTAATCTCCAGCATCGATTGTAGGATGGAGGCAACTATGATGAACAGGATGATGCTGAGTAGGAAGGTACGCTGCAAGATGTGCAGGTCAATGAGGTCAGTCTGTAGTGCCAGCAGCAGAAAGGTCACCCCTTCAGTCACACCTCTGTGCACAGAAGAAAATAACTGCAGGGTAAAAACCAGCATCAGGCCTGTGCGTGGAATTATCGTTTTAAAATTTCAAGAAAGGGCATTAATCGCAAAGGTTGGAAACTAAGATATTCGATGAGTTTGCCAAACATGTCAGCCCTCAGACCTACACTGCCAGTCAACGAGATCTCGATCGATTAAAAGTAGATGCAGCAAGACCTGGACCACATCCACTTTAATAGCAAAGTACTGTGGATGCTGGAAAACAGTAAAAAGCTATAGAATCGCTTTAATAACTGATTCGATCAATTCCTCACAACAGACATCAAGCTTACTGGCCTATAGTTACCCACTTTCTGCCTCTTTTTCTTCATGAACATATTTGTTACTTTCCAGTCTGATGGACCCTTTCCTGAATGTGATAAATTTTGGACAATTAACACCAGTACGTCTACCACCTCATTAGCTATCTTTTTTAAGAGCCCAAGACAAAGTCTTGTCAGCCTGCAAATTCATATGCACGCACTGCACAATTTCCCTCGTGAAGGCATTTTCACCAAGTTCCTTTCTCACTCCCACTTCCTGATTGACAGCTATTACTGGAAAATGTTTTTAATATTTGATTTCATTTATTACTGTCACGTATCCAAATAGTGAAAAGTTTTGCTTTGCATGCGGACCAGGCAGATAACATACAAGGACATACAGATCACAGTGTGATTGAACACAGCGAGGCATACAAAGTTATAGCTGGCAAAGAAGGTGCATAGAAAGCAAGATTAACATTAGATTTGTAATTTGAGAGGTCCACTCAGAAGTCTAATGACACGGCACGGTGGCTCAGTGGTTAGCACTGCTGCCTAACAGTGTCAGGAACCCGGGTTCAATTCCACCCTCGGGCAACTGTCTGTGTGGAGTTTGCACATACTCCTTGCGTCTGTGTGGGTTTCCTCTGGGTACTCTGGTTTCCTCCCACAGTCTAAAGACGTGCAGGTTAGGTGGATTGGCCATGCTAAATTGCCCCAAAAAGTGTTCAGGGATGTGTAGATTACGAGGGTTATAGGGGGATAGGTCAGGCTGGGATGCTCTGAGGTTCAGCATGGACTTGTTGGGCCGAAGGGCCTGTTTCCACACTGTAGGGATTCTATGATCTATTCAATGATCTATGATCTACGGTCCTGATCTATGGCAGCGGGGAAGAAGCCTCTATAGTGAAGGAAGAAGCAAAATAATTCCATCCTCCATTTCCTTATTATCAACTACCAATTCCTCATTCTCAGTCTCTGGAGGAGCAACACACCATGATCATTATCATATCGCCTGTGCATTGGGGACCTCACCGCGGGAAAATTGGTAACAGCTTCTCCCCATGTTATTAACAGTGACTGCACTTCAAAAAGGCTGTAAAACATTTGGCGATGTCCTGCAGTGGGTGTGACAGGTTCAACAGACAATCAAGTTCTTTCACTGACAGTAGGAACTGCAGATGCTGGAGAATCTGAGATAACAAGGTGAAGAGCTGGATGAACACAGCAGGCCAAGCAGCATCAGAGGAGCAGGAAGGCTGACGTTTCGGGCCTAGACCCGTCTTCAGAAATGGGGGAGGGGAAGGGGGTTCTGAAATAAATAGGGAGAGAGGAGGAGGCGGATAGAAGATGGATAGAGGAGAAGATAGGTGGAGAGGAGACAGACAGGTCAAAGAGGCGGGGATGAAGCCAGTAAAGGTGAATGTAGGTGGGGAGTTAGGGAGGGGATAGGTCAGTCCAGGGAGGACGGACAGGTCAAGGGGGCGGGATGAGGTTAGTAGGTAGGAGATGGGGGTGGGGCTTGAGGTGGGAGGAGGGGATAGGTGGGAGGAAGGACAGGTTAGGGAGGCGGGGACAAGTTGGGCTGGTTTTGGGATGCAGTAGGGGGAGGGGAGATGTTGAAGCTTGTGAAGTTCTTTCACTGTTTGTTGGTTGGTTGGTTGGTTGGTTGGTTGGTTGAGGGCGTGGATCAGGCCACTGAATTTCCTTTACCTGTGCATGAGGTTGCCATTCACAAAGGCTGAATATCCCTGCAGGTAAAACTTGCACAGAGTGAGCAAGCCCAGCGACAGCCGAGAGACTGTGAATGTCAGGCCCACTAGAGAGTATGGAGTAACACAGCATCCAGCGACACTGCAAGAGGTCAAAAGGCAGGACGTCAACAAAGCACTGAACATCTGACAAGGCCAATGCAACTCTACTTGATAGTGTGCGGCATCAGATATACAAGAGATAAACATGCATGCTGGAGATTTACAATGATTTGCTTAAATTCATCAGATATTTTCTGACTCACGACAATTCCACATTGAAAAAGAAACATATGCGCATTTAGGAATAGTAGGAACTGCCGATGCTGAAGAATCTGAGATAACAAGGTGTAGAGCTGGATGAACACAGCAGGCCAAGCAGCATCAGAGGAGCAGGAAAGCATTTTCTGAAGAAGGATCCAGACCCGAAACTTCAGCTTTCCTGCTCCTCTGATGCTGCCTGACCTGCTGTGTTCCTCCAGCTCTACACCTTGTTATCTCTGCACATTTAGGGTAGTGAGGGTAAGTAGGAGAGGTAGTTGAGGCCACAATCAGAGATGTATGATTTTATCCAAAGACAGCACAGGCTCAGAGGAGCCTAATGGCGTCATTTTCTCCAACTTACATGTTTTAGAGAGGAAACACAGGGGGATCCAGAGGGCTCAGGGACACAAATCCTTGAGGGTGACACGTTCAATTAGATCGCTAATTCCCAGGGATAATTACATGAAAGCACTCACTTGACCAGGCATCACAACATCGCCTGCACATCGAGTCAACCAGAGTAATATTCCCACAGTTTAGAGGCACAATCTCATTGAAGGGTATAAGTTTGTTAAGGCTGCAAGGCTGTTTCCTCTCAGGGAAGAATTGGAAACACTGGAGCACAGGCCCAGGATAAGTGGCCAATCAATTAGGACTGAGATGATGAGAAATTTCTTCACCCAAAAGTGTTATGAATTTTTAGAATTCTCCAGCCCAGAAAGTGGTGGATGCTCCATCACTGAAGGCTAGGATAGGCAGATTTCTGGTCTCTCAGGGAATCAGGAGGCAGGAAGCTGAAGAACAGCCATTGTCATAGAGAATGGTGGAGCAGGATTGAGGGGCTAAATGCTCTACTCCTGTTCACACTCCTTACAATAGGGCGAATCAGCATATTGCAAACAATGGGCAAAGAGGATTGCCGTCTCTTATTTTTTAAAAACAGAAGACTTTGAAGTTTTCTGATCGCAAACTACCTGGTGAGGAAGGCGAAGACCAGGCCCTCTTGCGATGCCCCCTGCTGGTTGTGCGAGCTGAGGTAGAAGTAGGTCTCGGTGACAAACAGCACCAGCCAGAACGTGGTGAAGAGAGCTGGCACTGCAAACTGGTTCCACAGTATCGTGCCCAGGCCCAGCACTCCGTACAGCTCACTCTCCTGCACACACACACACAACAAAAAAAACACAGCCAGCCGTGACCAGTCGACTCTGCACACTGCCTCTTCGAGCGGCCATCCCACCAGGGCTCTACCCACTTCCCTTCACCTCCATTCCATGGGAATGCACCCGTCTGCAAACCACACCTCACCTCCCCACCTCCTCATCTCTCGTCTGTCACCTCCATCACCTTTCACTGAGCGGTGACCAACAAAAGGGGGATTTAACTGCAGCAATCTCGCCTATCCCAAACTAACCAAAGTGCCCTTCAGACACAACAGGGTCACAACACTATTACATATATAACAATATATAATGGCATATCCGTATCTACAGGCTCTATAGTATACAAAGTGGCCACTCAGCACGAACAACATATGCTGGTCCTTACACTCCACATAAATCTCCTCTGCTTCCATCTGCCTCATCTCAGCCTGTTCAACAGATCTCTCCTCTCATGCCCACATTTAAGCTTTCCTTTCACAGCATCTACAAAATACTTGCTTCAACATTTCCCTGTGGTAGTCAGTCCCATGCCCTCACCACTGAGTAAAGACATTTCTCCTCTGCCTTCACAAGTGACGAGCTTGCACTTACAAATCCAACGTTTGGATTCTTGCACTCGTGGGAGCTAGCTCTCCATGTGAAAGGGGATTGGATCATCAGCTGGCAAAGGAACAATCGGCTGAGCTACTTGGGAAAGGCATTGAATTGGCACAGAGTGATTCAGAAGGCTAGCACAGATACAACGGGATGAATGGCCACCTTCCAAGCTGTAATGGTCCCTGCCCAAAACTGCTATAAGTTGACCTCTCACTTTCTATTTTATTTTTGAAAGAAAACACCTCAATCTGCTCGATCTTTCCCCACAGCAGTTTTCTCTCCATTCTGATACTGTCCCTTGAAATAATCAGTGCATGTTCCCCACAGCTTCTACATCTGTCTCAGACTATGGAGACCAGGAACATTCAGAGTGCTTGTACTGTAACCTGAAAAGCCATCTAACCCAAGTTTGACACAACTTGACTCTTTGTTTAACGATAATCCCTTTTAAAGATGCCACGTCTGCAGCACCTCAATTTTGGAAAGAGGGATTAAAAGGGAAAGCATGACAGACCAAAGTTGAGAGCTGGAGATACAAAACCAATGCCCCATTCGGTTATCGCTGCCAGTCCGAGATGTGACTTGTTTCTCGTTATAACTGGCCAACAAGAGCAATTTCAGAAGGAAACACAAACACAAATAGAAACAAGAGGTCCAGCTCACACAGACAAGCCATTGATGATCTTCAAACAGGCCCATCCCTACCATTAACACCTGGCTCTTTCTGACAAGACATGCCCAATAGAACAAAAGAATAACAGCGAGGGAGGCATCATAAATTGTGGGATTTAAATTTGCTTAATTAGAATTCAAAACCAATCTCAGTAAAGGCGATCATGAAACCAATTGTTGTAAAAATAGGGGGTAGACAACGGCCGAGTGAGATTATCACTGGATTGTTAATCAAGAGACCCAGGTAATATTCTGGGGAGCACGGCAGATGGTGGAATTTGCATTCGATAAAAGTCAGGAATTGATTGATGATGACCATTGCGGATTGTCAGGAAAAATTCATCTGGTTCACTAATGTCCTTTAAGGGAGGAAATCTCACACGGTCTGACCTACATGTGATTCCAGACCCACAGCAAAGACTCTTAACTGTCTTCTAGACAATTAGGGATGGACAACAAATGCTGGCTGAGCTAGTGACGCTCATGTCCCATGAATGAATTTAAAAACCCCATCGGGTTCACCAATCTCCTTCAGGGAAATCTGCCATCCTTACCCTATCCAGGCTACATACGATTTCAGACTCTCAACATTACGGTTCACTCCAAATTGCTCTCTGATATGGACTAGCAGGGCAATTAGAGATGGGCAAAAATCACCCCACTACTTTATTCCCCCCAAAAAGGCCAGCCCTCAAGCCTGTTTCACCATTCAATTAAATCAGGCTGCTCTATCCATAACTGGGTTCAGCTTATTCAGCTGGGTTTTATAATACTCCTATTTAACAAAAACAAACTTAATCTCTGTTTTAATAGTTTTAATTCATTGCCCACCTACCCCCATTCCCCTTGGCCTCAAAAGTTGTCTTCTTTTGAAGAAACTTGGTCCTTCGAGCTCAGGAATTCTCTTTCAAAATCTCCCAAGCTCCTCCTCATCCTTTAAGTCTAGTCTCAGTGTCTAAGCTTTTGGTCACTTGCCCTGGTATGTCTGTGTCAATGCTTGTCTGATAAAGGAAGCACTTTGGGATGTTTTGCTACACTCAGGGTGCTATACGCTGTCACTGACGATGAAAATCCCGAATTTCCAGCACCATCGTATCAAGCTGAATGGCCTAGCTCTGATCCGAAGGTCGTGCCACCCCTTACTGTGGCACACCCCCAGTAGAAGAAATGATGTTGCCATCTACCCTTAACTTGAATGTGGTTTTGGATCAGTCCTACCTGCACAATCTCTCGGTAGGCAGATTTGGCCAGGTTGTAGGGCACAAACATGTTGCACAGCAGGAAGTAGAGCACCTCAAGGCTGGTGAAGATGATGGTCAACTTGTTGAGGATGAGGAGGGCGGTGAGGGGCACCATACAGAGCCTGGCGAGCAAAGGGACCAGGTGGGCAGAGAACAACCAGAATGGCTTGGGCCTCATGAAGAAAGAACTGAGACACAAGACCAGGAGTTGAGCTGCAGGAACAGAAAACATTCAAAGTTTAGCATGAGGAGCATTTCTTACCCAAAGAAACCTCAAAACTCCCTCAACACGCAGAAAACATCCTGGTATTCCAATCCCTCTATGGCTTTTCCCTTTCCTATCTCTACAGCTTCCTCCATTAACCTCAGTCCTCTGACTTATAAAATTCTTTCCAACATCCATTATTTCCTTAATCCATCAGTGATGGCTATGCCTTTAATTGTTGAGGTCCCAAGTTCTGTAACTCCCTCCCTGAACTGCTCCATCTCTCTAATGTTGCTTCTCGCCTTGAGCAGGCTCATTAAAACCCATCTCTTTGAACAAACATTTCGCCAAATATCCCCTTGAGGCTATTTTACAAATGTTGTTTGATAGTCATCAAGAACTGTGGAGTGCTGGAGACTCTATATAATTGCAAGTTGTCATTGGACTCCTGTTCTGAACTCAGTGGATTTGAAACATTAACTCTGCTTTCTCCCCTTGGATGCTATCAGACCTGCCGAGTTTTGCCAGCAATTTCTGTTTTGTTTCAGATGTTCAACATTTGCAGTTGTTTGTTTAATTTTTCTGCACACACGGCTATTGTGGTAGGCCAACAAGTGGAAGATTCCTGTATTTATGCAGTGACCCTGATGAACAAGAATGTCCTCAGGGGTTTCACAGAAGTGTTATCAAACACAAATTTGACATTATGCCTCATAAAGAGATATTAGGGCAGTTTACGAAACCCTCAGTGAAAAAGATAGGTTTTAAGAAGTGCCACAGAGTCAGAGAGAGAGAGAAAGATAGAGAAGGGTCTAGACCCGAAACGTCAGCTTTCCTGCTCGTCTGATGCTGCTTGGCCTGATGTGTTCATCCAGCTCTACACCTTGTTATGTAAGATAGAGAGGTGGATTCCTTTTAATGCATGCATTGGATTTGGGTGTCACTAGCTAGGTCAGCATTTATTACAAAACCCTAATTGTCCTGGAACTCAGCTGCTTTGCTCGGCCATTTCAGAGGGCAGTTATGAGTTGACCACATTGTTGTGGGTCTGCAGTCAGACCCAGATAAGCATGGTAGATTTCCTTCCCTGAAGCCGGTAGCGAACCATATGGGCTTTCCAACAGACGACAGTGGTTTCATGCTTGACATTAAGCTAGGTTAGGAATGTCTGAGGGACGGCATTCCAGAACCCGAGATCTAAACCACTGATGACTTGGACACCAAACATGGAGCAATGAAGATCTGGGATGTGAGACGGGCCAGGATTAGAGTGCCAAAGAGACATTGGATGGCTACAAGCCTGGGTCCGTTTCCTGGGACTAATACACCTCGCTGGCTTCTCAAGAAGCAAGGAATACAACTTAAAAACAGCAACAGACATCAAAACAGATTAGTATTTAAAGGAAAAAACAGACCTCTTGAATGTCACTTATGACCTAAGGATGGTTTGGGGTCAACATTTGGAACCTGGTAGTTGGGATCTGGTTTTCAGGGTGCAGAGCTCAACAGAAAGCCTTTGGAAAGAGCCAGCCCTAACACATGGGCTACATGGCCTCTTACTATGCTGATGGTTACAGACACACATTCCAATTTCCCAAAGGGATGCAGCCTCTCCTGTTAGTGATAGCAGAATACCTTCTTCCTTACCTGTTAGTGCACTGACAAAACGCTGAAGTGCCACTAAGTCAAGATACACTGCACCATCGTACCCAGATTCAAGCTCTTTGAGAACATAGTTCCTTTGAAGAAAGCAAAACACCAGAGAATTAGCCAACCACGATTTCCCCGGGATCCATTTAATTATCTGAATGCAATTTTGTTTTCTTTATTTATTCACAGGTTGTGGGTGTCACAGGCTGGGCAGTAACTGGCTAGGTTGGATTTGTCCTTCATTATGTGTCCACGACATGCCTGGGCAATCTTTCACATTGTTGCGTAGACACCAGTGGTGTAGTTGTACTGGAACAGCTTAGTTAGGGGAGCGGCAAGTGCTGGAGCACAAGTTCGACGTTGTATTATTGGAATGTCATCAGGGCCCATAACATGGGTAGCATCCAGCACCTCCAGCAGGAAGTCAACTCCAAAAACACTCAAAAGACCCAACACTGTCTGGACAAGGCAACCATCTTGTTTGCCACCTCATCCAACACTTTCAGTCATCCTGACTTGGAAATACATCACCATCCCTTCAGTGTCCTTGAGTCAACATCCTGGAATTCCCTCCCTAAGGGCATTGTGGGTCAATCCGCAGCAGGAGGACTGCAGCAGTTCAAGCAGGCAGCTCACCACCACCTTCTCAAGGGCAATTAATTGATGCAAAATAAATGATAGGCCTTGACAGAGATAGCCACATTCCAGGAACAAATACAATTAAATCAATCTGATTCCCAAAATACTACTTTTGATGCAAGTTATTGCACCATTTCCAAATAATTATCAGATAGAAACCAGCATACAACACCAGGTATTTGGCCCAATGGTACATGTCATGTTGTAATGTTCCACAAACACTTCATTTTCCTCATTCTTTTTCACTCAAGCACCTATCCAGCTTCCTCTTAATTGAATCTGTACCATTGCATACCATTTGGGGAGGTAGTGACAGGGATAATATGTCCAGGCCCTCGTTCGAATGTTGTGTGGTTCTCGGGTTCAAAAGGTAGCTGGTGAAATGTAAATTCAATAAAAACCTGGAATTAAAAACGAATCTAATGTTGACCATGAGATAGTAGGAACTGCAGATGCTGGAGAATCCGAGACAACAAGGTGCAGGGCTGGATGAACACAGCAGGCCAAGCAGCATCATAGGAGCAGAGAGGCTCTCTGCTCCTATGA